TTTCTTTCCCCAGCCTCTCCGTCTCCCATGCCCCCATTGTTTTCTCCTCTGAATTGTTTATCCTGCTTATCTTACCTAGAGAGACATGCAGAGATAATAATAAGCACAAAAATAAGACAGAGCAAAACAAAATAATAACAACAAATACCAATGCCCACAAACAGAAAAACCTATAAATAGTTCCAGGTATGTTTGTTGACCTTTAAGAGTGTTTTCCGGTCGAGTCTGATGGGGTGCCACACTCTTGCCCCACAGTCTATTTTTGGTATTCCCCGGGGACTTTCATTGCTTTGCTCCCCTTGCGGCTCTGTTGCATGCCCTTAGTGTTCTGCCCCAGTGTGATGGGGTTAGATAGGCATAATTCCCACACTGTGTCTCCAGTGTTGTCCCCAATAGCATTATGGGTCAGTGAAGGAGGTCATGTCTGTGTCTCGTGGTGGGGCCAGCCCAATAGTCCTCTCTGTGCATTGGCTGCTCTGAGCAGGATTATCATCCTTCGGGCTTGGTGGGCCAGGATGTGTTCCATTCTCTCTCCTTCCCTCTCCCTTAGCTCCTGTGTGTTCTGATCAGACATGTCCCTCTCCCTGAGCTGTAGCTTCAGTGCTGTCCTCTGAAGTGCATTCTTCTGGGAGGAAGGAGGAAAAACAATTTTAAATCTACATTTTGATGAATTATCATGGTAACTTTAAATTAGAAAAAGTAGATTATTTGGAGTGTGCCAAGGCAATTATTTATATCTCATTTTACAAATGTGCTTCTTTGACGTTTCCTTCTATGACTGAAATAAACCTTAGAATCTACTGTGTTATGAAGTCCTGTTTTTAAAAGGGATTTGTGTTCTCACAAGTTGAGAAAAATCATAAACAATTTAGTTCAAAAGACTTGGTCAGGGTTGGAAAACAATGATATCTTGGTAAAGTTAATAAGTCAACTGTCACTCAAGCAGTATGTATTTTGTGTGGCCACAAATGCTGTGCAATATGTCAAAATTGTAGGGTTCACCAACAAAAACCGCGCAAAGGTGGGTAACATAGATCAGTGAAGAGGATAATGTTTCATAAGGCTTTTTTGTAACCTAGTAAATATATTTCTAACAATACATTTGCTATTGCAACTTTTTTCACACGTACAATTCAGTAACATGAATTATACTCATACTGATTTATTTAAGCTATATTCTTTTTGCTTATTAAAAACATGAGGAAAATTCTTCCTTTTATAAGAAGTATAGTCTTGCTCTTTGTATTAAAATATAAGTTTTGCTCCATAAGGCTGTAATTTTCCCATTTTTAATAAAACTCAGTTGATCTCACCCAGACTGTTGATCTACCGAACGGGTAGGTAAGAGTAGGTGTTGTAAAGCACTAAGTTTGTTGTATCTCGTTACTCCAAAAAGTGAAGCCTACTGCCATCGAATTGATTCTGACTTGTCAGTCAATATCAAGGTTTTCCAAGACTGGAAATCTTTATGGGAGCAGACAGCCTCATCTCTGTCCTAAGAGTCCCTAGTGGATTTGAACTGTCATTTGTGTGCTTAGCAGCCCATTGCTATGCCACAGCAACCCCCAAGGCTTCTTAATGTGTCACTCAACACTAGAAAGCTAATACACTCATCTCGTATTCCCCTATGCACTCACTTCTCCCACACTGAGTGCCTATCGCTTCTTGGACAGCACCAGGCACACACTCACATTCAGGCCTCTGCACGGATTTCTCGGGGGCTGGGATGCTCTTCTACATGCATGAGTTTTCTTAGTTCCTTCAATTGGTCCTCAGATGTCACCTCTTCAATGAAACATATCTAGACCCCACCTCTGCCACAACCTCCTTCATTATTCTACTTTTCTGCCCTGATTTTAACTTCTTTCTTGATGTGGCAATCTGTCTTGCCTTGAGAGTCCACTCTCGTGGGTGGTGAATACCAGGTATTATAGGCCCCATGGACAGTAAAACAGCCTGACCTTTGAGTGAATCACCCTGTGAGCTGGGTTCTCCCTTTGTTTCTGCAGGGAACCTCGCAAGGTGGTCCTGCACAAAGGCTCCACTGGCCTGGGCTTCAACATTGTGGGCGGAGAAGATGGAGAAGGTATTTTTGTGTCCTTCATTCTGGCTGGTGGACCAGCAGACCTAAGCGGGGAGCTCCAGAGAGGAGATCAGATCTTGTCGGTGAGTATTACACTTTACTCTCTGTTCCTTTCGCGATCGTGAAAGGGCGACTATCCGTTGTGGCTCTCAAAACCGGGGAAGCGTCGATGAGAACTTTGTTAGGTGTGTGCTACCATTTCAAAGGTAGGCAGATGCTTCACAATTTTCACGCTCTTTCCTCAGCTGAACAAAAAATGGTTGTGTTCTCTTTAATACTTTCTGAGACATATACCCTACTATTAGAACATTTTTTATAACAGGTATATTCCTTAATTTCAAAATGCAGTTCTGAGATCAAAGGAGGGAATTGCGTTAGTTTAAAGTCAGAGTACCCAGGCTATGGATAACAGTGAAAGCCCAAAATCCATTTGCTGAGTCTCCCTGGGGATCACGCCTCCACTGAGTCCCCTCTGACAAATGGCCATGGATGAGAGTAAACCTGAGCTCAGACAGGGTGCATTGGAAGTCGATCACTGCAGATAAAACCTGGTTACAGTTTACCATCTTCTTGTCTGTCTTCTCTTTTTTACCTATTTTCAATTTGTTCTAGTTTTTATTCTGCTTTCTTGTAAATTGAGATTTTTCTGTGTTTTACTTTTTTATTCTTGTAGGAGGTGCTATGTGATTTTCTTTATATGAAATCCAGGATAAGAAACTCTAGAGACAGTAAATGGAGTGATGGTTTCTTAGGGTTATGGTAGGGGGTTGGGAGGTAATGGGAAGCTAATAATAATAATAGTGCAAAAATGAAGAAAGTGTTCTAAAATTGTGATGATTGCACAACTCTTTAATATATTCAAACCATTGAGTCGTGTGGTGTATGAACTATGTCAATAAAACTGTTAAAAAATGCATTTCTTGTTTTCCAAACATATGGCCATACTCTATTAACTGCCTCTTTATAATATGTCCAGTTTTATGATTATAACTATGTAAGAAATGCATAAAATATATATCGAGTTTGGATGATGGTTATAAATGTTAGCATAATTAACATTTACCTAAGTGTAGGGGGCCTCCAACAAATCATCACTGGTCCAGTAGGAGCAATTGTACGGTTAAAATATATAAAGATTATAGTAAAGTCCTAGAAAGTGTGAGAGATAGGAGATTGAAATAATGGAGTCAGACACATTTCATGGTAGAATGCTCACCTCAGCCCGCTTGATGGTCCATGTGGAGAGAGGGGGAGGGGAAGGAGGACAGGGGGAAAGGGAACAGGGGAACTAGGACTGTGGAGGAGAGGGGGAACCGATGAGAGGCCAAGAGGGGAGTCCAAGAGAGCTCTTTATTGCTAACCCAGGCCCATATACCTTTGGGGAGGCGTGCAAGCCCACTAATTACAGATAAAGACACACGTCACAGGAAGGGGTTTCACTATAGGTTATACAGCAATGAAAGGGGGACAATCTAGGGATATACGCGCAATAGGAAGAGGAGGGATTGGGGGTATACATGTGACAAGAAGGGCAGATCCTAGATTCAGGATGGCAGCCTAACTTTGGATGCCACTGAGCCGGTTTGACCTGTTCCCTGGCACAACTATAGAGACCATTATCCATAGGGTGTGAACTCCACCTACAGGAACCAAATCTATGACTACAGGCCTTTAGGGAGAAGTAGCCCATTGTCCTTAACAGCAGGGAGCGGGGCCTACCCGTGGTGGGATGTCTGGCAACTGATTGCCTTCATGGGGTAACTTGACAATTTTTTACCTTTAGCTGCAAGCAGTATCCTAAGTCTAACATATTTAGGGGAGATGAATTGGAAGAAATGTTTGTTTCCCACACAGTTCTTATTTCCAAACATATGACCATACTCTATTAACTGCCTCTTTATAATATGTACTGTTTTATGTCTATAACTATGTAAGAAGTGCATAAAATAGATATCCAGTTGGGTGATGGTTATAAATGGTAGCATAATTAACATTTACCTAAGTGCAAAATTAACCACAAGAAGTTATTAATCACTTATTATTTGTCAAGCATTTTATAGAAGTTATTACCCTGAAAGGTATTACCCCAAGTTCGGATAAAGAAAATAATGTTCAGAGAGGTTGATTAACTTGCCAAAGGTCACATAACTACAGTGAATCAGAGCTGAACGTTAAATCTTTTTTTTTAATGCCCATTGGCTTGTTTTCAGTAGTAGTCTCTATTTGACCTCTATGTTCTAATATGCATTACAATGGCTACATGATTAAAGGAATTATTAAGGAAGCTAACATGGTGTAATGCCAGTGACAAATGCTGAGGGCTGAGTTTGTGTCAGGACATGTTGCCAAGTTCTTTCAGGTCTGCTAAGAAATGCCCAGAGGGGCATATCACTCCAATGTAAACCGCAGCTGAAGGCGGTCTGCTAAGAAATGCCCAGAGGGGCATATCACTCCCCTGTAAACCGCAACTGAAGGCGGTCCACTCAAGCTTTGTGGATCAGCAAATCCAGCTCTCGGAATGAAGCGCCTACAGGCACTGCACTCTTCCAGCCGGCCTCCTGCCCTAAGCACTGAACTTCACCTGCTCATTGTTTACACATCCATCATTCTGTTCGTGCTCTGGCTCCCAGTCCTGCCGCTGCTCCTCTGAAGGGATAGCTGTCTTCTGGATCCAGGATTCACTGTGCAGGGATCTCGGATCCAGAGGATGTGCTCCACTCCCTCCTCCTCTAGCTTCTCAGAGGGCTCATTTCATACACAGCAGGATGCCATTCCAGGGAACCCTGTTCACAATTGCTCACAAGTGAATCCCATCAAGATCTTCCCTTAACTTCTTACCAGATGCAGGCAGACGAAGGTGGTTTGGCGGGAATTATGGGACTTTGGGAAGAAGACCCACAGTAAATAAATCACATCTACCTTTCCTCTTCTCTCCCTCTTCTCTTTCTTTACACTTTGATTTCT